TGTGCCACTACGCCCAGCTAATTTTGTATATTTCAGTAAAGACAGAGTTTTGCCATGTTTGTCTGGCTGGTCTCAAACTCCTGACCTCGTGATCTGCTTGCCTCGGCCTTCCAAAGTGCTGGGATTAGAGGCGTGAGCCACTGTGCCCAGCCCCAAAAGCTTTCTTGACAGCAGAGAAAGCATGCTTAATGACATGGGAAAGTTCTCTAGAGATTCAAGAAACTGTAGGTAGTCCTGAATGCCTAGAATATAGGAAATGAAGGGAGGAGTGAGGTTGGCAGGGACCTAGTTCCTTCTGTCTTATATTTCCTGGTAGGGTTTTAATTTTTGTCTTCAAAGTACTGAGGAACAACTGTAGTTTTAATCAGGGGCTTGACTTAATCAGATTTGTACCTGGGAAGGATTTCTCTTGCTGCAGTGGATGGATGGGACTGAAGAGGGCTGGACAGGAGCCAAGACGACCCACAGTTCAGAGGGAAGAGTCCCAATGAAGTAATGATAGAGGGCAAGGCAGGAAAGGGCTGGGCCCAAAGATGTCAAGGGCAGAAGCAACAAAGTTTATTATCAACTGGACAGTGGGTAAGAACATGTCAACAATGCCTCCCAGTGGCTGGGCATGGTGGCTCACACCTAGCGCTTTGGGAGGCCGAGACAGGTGAATTGCCTGACCTGACCAACATGGTGAAAACCAGTGTCTACTAAAAAAATACAAAAATTAGCAAGGCCTGGTGGTGCACACTTGTAATCCAGTTACTGGGAGGCTGAGGCAGGAGAATTGCTTGAACCTGGGAGGCAGAGGTTGCAGTGAGCCAAGGTTGTGCCACTGCACTGCACTCCAGTGTGGCGACAGAGTAAGACTCTGTCTCAAAACAAACAAACAAACAAACAAAACAATGCCTCCTGGGTTTCTGGCTTAGCAAGATGAATAAATAACATATTAGTGTTTTCTTTTTTTTTTTGAGACGGAGTTTCGCTCTTGTTACCCAGGCTGGAGCGCAATGGCGCGATCTTGGCTCACCGCAACCTCCGCCTCCTGGGTTCAGGCAATTCTCCTGCCTCAGCCTCCTGAGTAGCTGGGATTACAGGCACGCGCCACCATGCCCAGCTGATTTTTTTGTATTTTTAGTAGAGACGGGGTTTCACCATGTTGACCAGGATGGTCTCGATCTCTTGATCTCGTGATCCACCCGCCTCAGCCTCCCAAAGTGCTGGGATTACAGGCTTGAGCCACTGCGCCCGGCCCATATTAGTGTTTTCTTATGGGATTTGTTTTTTTTTTTAGAGACAGTCTTACTCTGTCACCCAGGGTGGAGTGCCGTGGCACAATCATAGCTCACTGTAGCTTTGAACTCCTGGACTTAAGTGATCACCCTGCCTCAGCCTCCTGAGTAGCTAGGAGTTACAGGTGTCTACCACCATGCCCTGGCTTCTTGTAGGACTTCTGGAAACGTACTTAAATGGAATAATGTGTTAATTTTTTTTTTTTTTTTTGAGATGGGGAGTTTTGCTCTTGTTGCCCAGGCTGGAGTGCAATGGTGCGATCTTGGCTCACTGCAACCTCCGCCTCCTGGATTTAAGCAACGGGTTTAAGCAATTCTCCTGCCTCAGTCTCCTGAGTAGCTGGGATTACAGGTGCCCATCACCATATGCAGCTAATTTTTTGTATTTTTAGTAGATATGGGGTTTCACCATGTTGTTTAGGCTGGTCTCCAACTCCTGACCTCAGGTGATCTGCCCACCTCTGCCTCCCAGAGTGCTGAGATTACAAGCATGGTCCACTGTGCTAGACCAAGTATAATTTGTTTAAACAAATTTAAATGTACTACTTACCCATTATCTTCTTTTTTTAAAATTTATTATTATTATTATTATTTTTTATAAAGACAGGGTTTCACCATGTTGGTCAGGCTGGTCTTGAACTCCCGATCTCAGGTGATCTGCCCACCTTGGCCTCCAAAATGCTTGGATTACAGGCGTGAGCCACCACGCCCGGCCTTACCCATTATCTTCAAGGAAAGGACAGAATCCCTTGGTTAATGCTCCCTGAACAAAGATAAAGTAATTATTATTCAGCCAAGGGATCTGGGAATGATCTTGTGAACTCTTGAAATAAACATGCCCATAGGCTGGGAGAGGTGGCTCACACCTGTAATCCCAGTACTTTAGGAGGCTGAGGCACGAGGACTGCTTGAGTCCAGGAGTTCGAGACCAGCCTGGGCAACATGGTGAAACCTCATCTCTACAAAAAAAAATAAAAAGTTAGCTAAATGTGGTAGTGCTCCAAGGTGCATGATTGATAGGCGCCTGTGGTCCCAGTTACTTGGGAGGCGGAGGAGGGAGGATCTCTTGAACCCAGGAGGTCTAGGCTGCAGTGAGCTGGCCTTGATTGACACAGCAAGACACTCTTCCAAAAAAAATCAAAACAAACCAACAAAAAAACCCAAAACAAGCCTGCCCATAAAAAGCCTGGGTAAGGAATTAGAAACCAAAAGAAAATCTCCATCTATCTATTCATTCAACATTTACTGAACTCTAATTTTCTTTTCTTGAAGAGAAGAAAATTTAATAGGCGGCCGGGCGCGGTGGCTGAAGCCTGTAATCCCAGCACTTTGGGAGGCCGAGGCGGGTGGATCACGAGGTCAAGAGATCGAGACCATCCTGGTCAACANTATTTTGTATGTAGTCAGTAGAAAAAGATGTTAAAAAGTTATATTTTGTATGTAGTCAGTAGAAAAAGATGTTAAAAAGTTATATTTTGTATGTAAAGGGGGTAGAGAAGAACACAAGAATATTGAAAAGAGGCATTGGAAGTTGCAGAAAAGAAGACACAAATTGAATTGGGGAGTTTTTTTAAAGCTTAGGACGAGGTGCAGATTACACTATAGAAAAAAAATGTAGTGCACCTGAAGACACAGAAATGCAAGCCACGCAAAATAAAATAAAGAAAGTAAAACATGGGGGGTAGGGGAGACTGACCAGGGAATTCGCATTGCTGGGACAAATTCAGATGTCCCAATCTATGTGTAATTGGGGTCCCTGAAGGAGAGGCAGATGGGAAAAAATTGAAGAAATTATTATTGAAATATTTCCAAATTCTATAAAAACTATAAACCCACAGATACAAGAAGTTTGAAGAACCTCAACCACTGTACATCATAATAAAATTGCCCAAAAGCAGTGATAGAGAAAACTTTAAAAGCAGCCAGCGTAAGGGAGAAATGCATTGTGTACAGAACAAATGTAAGAATGAGAGCCAAATTCTTATCAGGAACAATGCATGCCAGAAGATAATACAGCAACATCTGAAAGTGAAAACAACTGTCCATCTAGAACTATTTACCCACTAAGAAAAATCAGCTTTCAAATATGAAGGCAAAAAAGAGGGCCCTTTTGAGACACACAAAAGCTAAAGAAATACATCAGCAGCAGACCTTCACTGCAGGAAGTGGTCAAGTAAGCCCTTTGAGCAGAAAGCAAACGATAACAGAAATCTAGATGTAGGCAGAGAAACAGAGGGCACCAGAAATGGTCCACACTGAATAGGTATAAAGGACATTTTCTCCCATTAAAAAGTCTCTTTAAAAGATAATTGGCTATTTCGAGTAAGCTTAATAATGAGGCTTAAAGCATATGGAGGAATGAAAGGCATGACAGCAATAGCACACAGGCAGGGAGGGGAGTATGCTATATGGGAGGTAGTCTAATATTACTCGAAGACAGACTGTGATAAATTTAAGATGTATACTGAAAGTCCTAAAGCAACCTCTGTTTAAAAATATATATAGCAAAAGGCCGGGCATGGTGACTCACGCTTGTAATCTTAGCATTTTGGGAGGACAGGCAGGCGGATTACTTGAGCTCAGGAGTTCAAGACCAGCCTGGGCAAAATAGTGAGACCTCATCTCAAAAAAAAAAAAAAAAAAAGATATATTTGGTTTCAAATCCAGATCTTTTTTGACTATGCTAAATACAAGCAAATTCGTAAAGGGTAATAAGTTGGTCACACCAGGAATCCCAGCGCTTTGGGAGGCTGAGGGTGGATAGCTTGAGGCCAGGAGTTCGGGACCAGCTTGGACAACAAAATGAGATCCCCCCCATCTCAACAAAAAATTAAATAAAAAAAATTTAAAAACCAAAAGGTTAATAAGCAAGTCACAGACATATCCTGCACAGAATTTTTCGTATGTTTAGGGCATCTGCATGGCATAAAGTTAGTTCTGGGCTGCTAAGAACATTCACATGTCATGTATCAGTTTTCCTTTCTGGAGAGCTTCTATCTTTTCCTGGAGAAGCTGTTTGACATGCACAACACACACTCCTCATTTATTGCCAGAAACGACGTTTCACAATTAACATTATGTGTGTACACACACACACACACACACAAACACACACACGAGCGCGCGCGCGCGCACAGGCGCGCCTTCCTTTCTGTCCCTCTTGTTTACCTTAAGAGGAAGCAGGCCGGGCATGGTGGCTTACGCCTGTAATCCCAGCACTTTGGGAGCCTGAGGGGGGGCAGATCACGAGGTCAGCAGTTCTAGACCAGCCTGACCAACACGGTGAAAACCCGCCTCTAGTAAAAATACAAAAATTAGCCTGACGTGGTGGCACGAGCCTGTAATCCCAGCTACTCAAGAGGCTGAGGCAAGATAATCGCTTGAACCCAGGAGGCGGAGGTTGCAGTAAGCGAACATTGAGCCATTGCACTCCAGACTCGGAGAGACTCCGTCTCAAAAAAAAAAAAAAGAAGCATTTAGTTTTAGCATCAATGAAGAATTGCAGGAGAAATATTTGTTCTTGGTAATGGACGACATGCACCAACTCATAAGACATCCGGAGGTTCAGGCTATCAACCCAAAGTACACGCGCCTCCCACGCCCTGTTTCCGTGCAGTTCCAAATCCCAGGTGTCTCAGGTTGCAACTTCTGTTGCCTTTAACTGCATCCTACTTTCTCTTCCACACATTCTCCCTCATCCCCTTCGATACAGACCCAGTGCCCAGGGGAGGGTGGCATGACCTTGGTTCATCCCAAGCCGCGAAGACGCGGCGTGACCTTGGCCAAGTCCCCACTTCCTCATCCGCTAACTGGCGAGGCTGCACCGGAGGGTCTCCGCCCCGGCCGCTAGGCGTCTTGCGCCGGTACCCCTATCTTACTGGGCTTCCTCCGCGCGTCCCACCAGTTCTACGCCTACGCTGCCGGCGTAGTGGCCGCCTGGAGACTTGCGGCCCTCTCTTTTCAGACGCTGGTTTCCGCCGCGCAGACTGGGTGGGCGCGATTCCCGAACGCGGCCTGCGCTGCGAGCGCGCGGCCGTCCCGCAGGCCGGTGCGGCCTTACGCCGCTGACGCAGCGCGCCCAACATGGCGGCGCGGTCGTCGTCGGGGGTGGCGGCGGCAGAGGGGGCGGCGGCCTTGGCGGCAGCGGAGACTGCAACCGTGACGGTGGCAGCGGCGGCGCGGGATCTGGGCCGGGGGGAATGAGGCGGCCGCGGCGGGCCAGCGGCCGAGCCGTGTAGCGGAGAAGCTCCCCCTCCCTGCTTTCCTGGGTTGAGCCGGGGGCGCGCGCGTGCGCGGCCGTCCTGAGCGGGCTCCCCACCCCTCGGCTCCCGCGACCCGCACCGCACCCCCACCCGGGCCCGGAGGATGATGAAGCTCAAGTCGAACCAGACCCGCACCTACGACGGCGACGGCTACAAGAAGCGGGCCGCATGCCTGTGTTTCCGCAGCGAGAGCGAGGAGGAGGTGAGGCGCCTGGCTGGACGGGCCGGGGTCGCCGGGTCTCCGGCCGCTTCGGGTGAAGGCGCGGGGGGCGCGGCCGCGGGAGGAGGCTGTGCCCCAGCTGCTCGGTTCGGGGAGAATGAAGTTCCGACTGAATTTCCTGAGGCGAAAAACGGGGGGAAGAAAAAAGGACGGTGGGGCGGGGGGGGGAAGCGGGTCTGAGAGCGGCCACACAGGACACGCCGGGCGGAGGGGGTGGCCGGCCTGTGGCCGGAGCGCTTCGGTTTGGCCGCCGGTCACCGAGGAGAGCGGCCGCGGGAGAAGGCAGTGGGCTGGGAAGAGTGCAGCTTTCGGTCCAGGCCAACGGCTTTGATCCAGGAAGGGCAGCTCTGCGCTTGTCAGCCAGGCACATGTGTGCGGAGGCCGGTGTGCACGAGGCGCGGGCTGGCCTTTGTGGCAGAGAAATAGTGCACTTCATTGGCAGGTTTGGGGTTTGCTGAGGGATTATGTGTCTCTGAGCCCAAAGCCGAGGGGTGGGGGTGGGGGTGTCAGGAAGATTTAGGGCGTTGTGCATAAGCCACAGCCAGCTGTTTATTTTACAGTGCCCTGGGTAGCTCTTATGGTGTAGACTGAGAAGAAAAGACATTTAATTTGATAATCTTTGTGTGCTGAAAATGTTTCATATTAATTGGGAAGACCAAAAGCGGTATTTAAAATTTTTGCCCTGATGTTCCTTCACTGCCTCGTGGGAAGACCTTTAGGATTAAATTAGCGAGAAAAATATAAATGTTTTAGAATCAGTTTCTTTTTATAATACGTAGGGTACTTAAAAAAAAAAAATATCGACTTCCCAGAGCCGTTTCTGTGGTGATGAAGGGAATTCAGAGAAGCACATGTTTTGTAAATCCACAAAGAATAGCTGCTTTGGAAATTCATAAGATGCCTGTGGGAATGCATTTCTCTGTGTGCATGGTGGTAAAATGGCAGTTAAACTGGAAACAATGAAGGACAGTGGAATCCAGCGTGTTATATTCCGGCATTCAGCTGTGGGTTATGGTGGCAGGGCCGCAGTATAGTGCATCGTGTCGAAATGGGGAAAGGAACTTGGCCCACTAGTTATGAAAAGAAGCTGTGGTGAAAGAGAGGATTGCCATGCTGTCCAGAGGTATTTAGGAGGAAGTGGGAGTTCGAATTATTGCCTGAAGAAGATTAGTGAATTGTGCTGTTAAGGAATCCATGTGTGCTCCCTTTCAGCAAAACAGAACGAAAGGAGATTTGGAAATGTATGCTTTGTATCCTACTATACATTGTAAAAGTGCCCGGCTGGGCAAGGTGGCTCATGCCTGTAATCCCAGCATGTTGGGAGGCTGAGGCAGTCAGATCATCTGAGATCAGGACTTAGAAACCAGCCTGGTCAACATGGTGAAACTCGGTCTCTACTGAAAATACAAAACAATTGGCAGGGCCTGGTGGCTCATGCCTGTAATCTCAGCTACTCGGGAGGCTGAGGCAGGAGAATTCACTGAAACCTGGAAAGTGGAGGCTGCAATGAGCCAAG